TGAAGGAATATTTATAGCGTTTCTGACCTTTGAATGAACTTTCACAAATCAATAACAGCAAAGTGGAAGGAAGGTTAGCAGCAGTTTCCCTCTTGTCTGAGGGTAGCCAATGTTAGGCTTGGAATATCTAAAATATTTTAGGAACTACCAGAATCACATTTATGCAGCATTTTTGCAGGAAATTTGCAGATTTCGTCAGCGCTGACGTGCAGCTGCTATCTGAAGGATACAATACAAGGCCAGAGCCAATGGTGTCATTAATGGGTTTTTAAGTTGTTGTGTATCAGTTTTTACATGGCAGAACTACTACAAGAGGCCTTAAGAGCCAGTGCTGAAGAATAATTTTCTTGACTATATTTTGCCACAGGGAAAGTGTAAGTGGATTAGAAAGCGTTCTCATTAATGACTTGCTGCAACCGAAACACCCTTAATTTCCTCCCACTTCCAATTACAGACATAAAATTGATATGGTCACCCCTAGATGTGTGAGCACAAGCAGCCGCATGAGATGGTTTGAGGCAAGGTTTGCCAGTTCAGAGTCATTATCCCTATAACCCTACAACTCAAATATTATAAAGGACCTTTCCTAATTCCTCAGATTTCTGAAACTCCTTCCAAAATCAAGGTGTTCCCATAATGAATTAGACATCCCAGTGCTGTTTGCTGCCTTCAAGCATGGAGGAGGAAACCAGGCGTCGAAATTTCCCTTCGTTTCACTGCCTAAAAGCCAAGTTCCTAACTTAATTAAATCCTTGCCTTCTCCAGAGCTGGCACCTCTAGAAAGTGCTTCTTGTGCTCTCTTTTGCCTACCGAGGGATCCTGGCCAACTAGTTCAGATGGTAACTGTAAATTAGAAGCCTAAATTCCGGATGCATCAAGTTAAGTGAGATGAATCCCATTGCTAGGGGTGACAGTAATAGATCTCATAGAAGACGTCTTCTACCTTGTAATTAGAGTGAATTTTTTCAGTCAGGACTGCCCCTCATGCCTTTCCATAGAGGTAGCAAAGCAGGGTCTTGCTCTTTGCTGAAGCCTTCTGGTGCTGCTGTAATACATAGGGCTCCAATTTGCAAATACAGTGTCGTTATTCTGAAAATCCCTCTCATAATGGCTCCATTTTTCTCTAGTATTTTTCTGACTGAGTGGGGAGACAATGGTAGCTATACAAACCATCACAAAATTCAAGAAACTTGTGATAGCAGCGCAGAAGAGTTGTTGTCATAGGTTTCTTTTTCAGTGTCCATATCATTTGAAGATTGAATCTACTTTTTCAGCCAGCCTTACAAATATGTCTAAAAATACAGGGAAAAGAAAACAAATTTGCTGAAGTTTGACGACTTCTGTTTGATCAAAAGTTGTTTGGTCAAAAGTAGCTTAAAAGTCAGGAAATGACAATTTTCTTATGGATGCTATCATACTTGCTGTTATTGTTAGGCTTCTGAAGAAGAACAAAGGAAAAGATATTTCCACACAAGTTCTATGTGAATTGTTAGTGGCAACTTTGAATTTCCTTGTTTTTTCCTAGTTTATAAAACACCTTAATATAGAATCGTTTTGTCTGAGAATAAATCCTGTGTTTATTCAAATTCTTAGATTCATAATATTAAAGAATGTTTTACTGCCTCTCCTCACGTACCTACTTCCCCTTTTTTGCTTCTTTTTTTGCTGTCTTTCAAGGACCAATGTACTGCGCCATGTACATCTTCAGTGCTCTTAAACATAAAGCTGTCTTATCATTTCACTCTTCTCCAAGATTTGCATTCCGGCTTTCAGCAGTCTCCAACCAAAAGAAGTTTGCTCTGTCTTAGTCTTCTTCCTCACACATTTTAAGTGCTTTGAAAAATTCTATAAAGCATGAGAAAAACTGAAGTCCTGAGGTTGCACCTAAGTCAGAACAAAGTATAGTATTGGCTTCTAACCCGTCTGTCTCAAGCATGAAAAATAAGATATGGTTTGATTGAGATTGAGACTGAATAACAAAATCATCCTTTTGTTTAGCCAATAGGCAGAAGACATCATTAACATTTTTGATGAAATTCTAGTTTATCGGTTCACTAAGGGCTAGTGTTTTGGCTCAAGAAGCTAAAAGGGGTTCATCTTGCAACAGCACATGGATCTGAATGAGCATTAGGTTACATGGGCCCCAGAACAGATCCAGCTGCTTTGGGACCAGCTTGAAACGAAGCCATCTTGGCACGGTTGGGTGATGACCCCGGAGTTTCAGCTTCTGCTGATTTTTCCGGTTCACTGACAGCTGCCAGCGTGGATATATGCCAATGTGGATTACACCACCAGCAGCAATATTGTCTGCTGGCCATTTCTTCAAAACCAGATGATAACTGGAACTGCTCATTGTTTACACTGATCTAAGGCTGGCGAACGCCCATAAGAGCTACCTCAGCCTGTTTTGTTGTATTTATGTCAGTGTTTAAAAGCAGTAGGGAATTTGTCTGTGGGGAAAGGTATGTGCTGTATCTCACAGTCTGTCCTATCTCATGGTATCCCCTTCAATCCGTAGCAGCTCCTCCATCAGCCTGCTCCCTGTGGTTTCTTGCCTTCACTGCTGCAGCGTTTGGGGGGCAAAGCCTATGACTCTCATTCCTCAGCTCTTCTGTAGCCCTTGCAGACCAGGCTCGGCTGCTTCTCTTCTCACAAATCTCTGCCCACCCCCAGCTACCAAACACCTTGACTGAACCCTCAGTCGGTACCAGGATTTGAGCCAGACACTGGAGCTGGTTTAATGTCAAAATAGACCATGGTCTCCAAGCTGTGCACAGGCAGGCAGCTTCTCACACGTCTCACAAATAGAGGAGCGTGGGCTGCTCTCACTAACAGCGAGCGATTTTGCTTCGTGATTTCAGAGAATGACGAGGAGCAGGAGGCTCTGCTATCCCTGGACAAGCCCGGCTGGTATTCCCAAGGAAATGCTATCCAGCTCTATGAACTGCTGAAAAAGATGACTGGCAAGCTGGATCCCAAGGTATGTTATAAGTAAGAGTAAATCTTTCTGAAAAGATTTCCATCTAAAAGATTTCCGTTGCCATCTAAAATTCACCAGACAAGCTTTCATTAAAATTATTGATGTGATTGGTCACAAATTTTTGTTCTGGTTATGCTTGCTGTTGTCTAACAGAGTGCAGCCCAGAACTGGAAGCAGCATATTAGTCTTCTTATCAGCAGAATATGTGAACTTTCTAGATGTTTTATTCTTTGTGTGTGGTCATGCCTTTCGACAGCTTTGAGGAGGATCAGATTGTAATCAGGAAATAAACAATGTCCCTGAGGAAACGGGTCAAATAGATTAAAAGATGGCTTCAGTGGAAACTTGGATCATGCTATTTTTAATTCCAGGTCTGGATGGGTGAAAATGCCACTGAAGACAGTGGGACCACATTTTCCCCAGTGGGTAAACTATCCCTTGGGCACAGAAGAGTTCTGAGTCATCAGGAGAAGCTCCGTGTTCTCCCTTGTTTCCAAAATTGTCCAAAATTCATTCCCATTGTTTAGCGCATTTTCTTGGTAGTCTTTTCCACTGCTTCCTGGCAGGCTATTTCTGTCGTTCAAAAATCTCAGCGGTGCCCCTGTGCCAGTCCCAGCCGGGCATCCCCATCCAACACCCCTGGAGGGTGAGAGCGAGGAGGGTGTGCAGGGCCAGCCTTTTCCTTATGGAGCTGGTTGAAGATAAAACCTCAAACTGTGACATTAATAAGATCTCTGTGTGTCATGGCCAACTGTAAACACGGAGGAATTTTTATTAGGTTGTTTTAAAGCTCTTTTTCTCCGTGAAATACAGTTTGTTTGTGTTTTCCTCATGTACAACGAACTTTTAATTTGCTGCTTCCCTCGTAGGTTGTTTATTTTGGTGACAGCATGCACTCAGATATTTTCCCAGCTCATCACTATAGCAACTGGGAAACCGTCTTCATCCTAGAGGAGCTTCTAGGGGACAAAGTTACGGTGCCTGCAGAGGCCGAATCTGAGCCCTTGGAGAAGAAAGGAAAATACGAGGTAAGGATTCCTTGCAGATGTTTCCTGGAACAGAAGAAAATAAGTTGCAAAAAAGCCTCGTGCAACCTGCGCTGAGAATGAGCCTCCTTATCTTACCAGGCTGCTATCAAGCATCAGCATCCCTCACAGATATACCCTCCTTGCCGCGCCGGGAGGTGCCATCCTGTCCCAGCTTGGCATTGCCTGGGTGATACAGAGCCTCCACCCGGAGCTAAATCACGGACCTCAGAAAAAGAGCTGTACGTGCAGTCCCTCCAGCGAAAAACACAGTTGTCTTTTCAGTAACCAGAACCTGCCTTGCGTCCTACAAAGAGAAATTTCATGGCCACTTATCACAAGTCTGGCACCTGAACTCTGCCGAGTTTGTGATGTTTCCTTGCATGTCGTGGCCAACAGTAAACACAGAGGAATTTTTATTAGGTTGTTTTAAAGCTCTCTCTCTCGGTGAAATACAGTTTGCTTGTGCTTTCCTTATATACAAAGAACTTTTAATTTGCTGCTTCCTTCATAGGTCGTTTATTTCAGTGACAGCTGTGCTCAGATAAGAGGGACTTTTTCAAAGTCTTGTCCAATGCAGTCTACTGGTACCTCAGATATACAATGTGATTTTCAGGTTGATCACAGCTGGGAATCAGGGCACGGCTGCCACACTTTAATTCCCCCCCAGAAGGTAGAAGATTACTATTGTTTACCCTTCTCTCCACTGCCACAGAACGAAGTAGATAGGGAATGGTGCTCGGATGTACCTCCGGCGTGTCCTGTGTAGGAACTACCATGCAGCTTCACTCTCCATTCGGAGTGTTTCTTCTTATGTTCCTAAGTAAACAGGTCATTTTCTTCTAATTGCAGAATGCTTTTTTGCACTTTGCTTTGAAAAGCACTTACCTTTTTTTTTTTCTTTTAAATAATTACTCTTTATGATTAAAAAGTTAACTTACAGATAGGAAGATTTTTGTGGGGTGCTTTTACGCTAGAGATGTTTTTAATCTGACTAAGAAGTGTTTTAAAAGCCCCTGGGTTTTGTGGAGAAAAGGGTGTCTTCAATGGGACTAAAACAATAGACATGTGACACCTATTTCTCTACTTTTTTTAATAGATGTATCTAATATTTTCCCCCACTATTCTGACTTCTAAACTAAGGTCAGACAAGGACATTGCAGTCACTGAAATAAGGAAATGTAATCATTAATGCTTAGGCTTTTTCCTGAGTTGTAGAAAACCAAAAATTAACAAACTCAAGTCTCCCATCAAGAAAAATGTGTTTCTTGGTAAGAAAGGGGGGAAAAAAGGAAGAGTGAGTAGTAGTGCTACATAGGTTAATGTAATTTGATTTAATTAGTTAATGCTGTAAAAATAACTCATTCTCCTCCATAAATGTGTTCATTCTCTGACTGGAGACTCTGCCCGCACTGCTGCGCGGAGCTTACATCTCCGCAAGGTTTGGGGTTCTTTTATTCAACCGTGGTTTCTTAAGCATGTTCAGTATATGCTTTTGAAGCACACATTTTTAAACAGCCAGCCAGAAAATGTTTCTTTTTCCTGGAAGTACAAAGAAAGAGTTACTGAGTGATGTGTTTCTAAGCCCTTGATGATGGTTTGGTTTTTATCTTGCTGCAGTGCCTCTGGTTAACGGCTCACAAGATCCATCTTCTCTATCGCTGCAGTTATCAAGCAGGAAATTGAGACTTTTAGACAGGTGCTCGACATTTCAGTAACGCCGTACTATTCCTGATAAGAGCTTGCAGTACCTCGGGGAGACACCACCCCTGCCACACACAACCCCTGTTCAGTTTACATCCGCTACCAGTGACAGCAAGCAAGCAAGGGAGAAATGAATTGCGTTGATTAAAGGAACCTGAACCAGGGGGGCCGTGGCAGGTCAGTGGTGTTATTTCATTACCACGCTGCTCACTGGAGTCTGAACAACAGGTCACATCCATATCTCTGCAGTTGACTGGACACCACTGACTTAACAGGACTAGTTCAAAGGGGGTCCCTTTACAAGCCTATGGAAGTTTTATTTTCATTCCCCTAATCAACTTCTACCATTAACCCTTTGGTTAAGAGGGGAGAAAAGCCACTTCAAAGGATTGTACAAAGTCAGATGGTTTTGGAAAATTAGGCAATAACAGATTAGCTTTAGTCTTGTTCATCAGCCTTATTGTTCGTTGGCAATAAAAAAAAATAGACTACTATTGCAGGTTTTCCATGCCATGCTGTGTGTGCAGAGAGGGACTGAAAATTTAATACAAGATGCAATCCTCCCTTCTCTTGACCATTACAAAATATTACTAAAGAAATAAGGTATTAATTCTTATTTGCAATTGCATCTTTCGGAAAGAAATTACAAAAACCTGTTTTCAGTTCTTTGGCTGGTATTTCATCACTAACGGAGGGGGGAGGAAAATGACCTCCTCACACACAAACTGGGAAGCTAGTAATTTCCATTTTCATTAGCAGTTTTTGTCTTTTCTCTTCAATTAAATGCATGATATAAGCCAGATACACATAACTGTGAAATGATGGTAACAACTGCTGTCCATTCAAGTATATGAGTCACAACCAAATGAGCAAAAGAATAGCAAATGAAAAAGTATTCATGCAATTACTCGGCTCCTAAGTGAATTGCAGCATGCAGGGAGGGGGAAAATACCAAGCATTGTGTTGAAACAAGATTCCCCCTAGATCTGGGGGTTTGTTTGCTTGGCTGGAGGCTTTGGTTTTGCCTGCTGTTCTTTAAATGTGTGATCAATTCCATTAATGAAAACTCAAAGAAAAGCTGGAATTTGTCCCAGGATTTCGAGGGAAATGATTGCAGAGGAGCGAGCCAGTGTGTAAAAACCTTGGGCTATAGGAATGAGTGGAGCAGAAATCGAAGAATTTATTGGTGGATATAGACAACATATTTGCAGTTAGAAGGAAAAACTAATTTTTACAGTATTGCCTAGTGGCTGGTTGGTTGGGGGGGGGTGGATCAGGGCCCTTAAACCCCCAAATTTCCAGGACTCCCTTGCCATGACCATAGACAAGGCTAATTACTCTGTGCCTTTTGGCTCTGTTTGTCTCGTTATTCCCGTTTATCTTTAACAGAAATCTAACAGTACTTTCAGGAACTACCTGATGGGCTGTTGTGAAGCCTGGCGAGTTAAAGCAATATCCTGAAGTGAAATGCATTTTATTTCAAAGTCTGCTTATCAGTGATCCACGTGGTAGTTTAGGCACAGTGATCATGGGTGAAATGTTTTATATTTGCACATGACTTGTGGGGGCAGGTTCTGTGCAGAAGTTAGACCAGTGGCAGGCTTGCCCATTTGCACACCCAGCGTAGGTTTGTTATTCAGGGACATCTGCTTGTTGTGACCGGCACAGCTCTGCTGGTGGAAGCACCTCAAATATTTGCCATTATACTGGCAAAACCATATTTTGAGCATTGATTTTTTCTGGCACTAAGACCCGGTGGTAGTGTTACTACCTTGGCACAGCCATCAGTCTACAGTGTACACTACCAAGTGTACAGCCATCAGCACCACCCATCATATCGGATGCAGTAAAGCAATCCTAGTGCTCTGCGCTTGGTACAAAGACGATGGTGTAGATAGCAAACCTCCATCTAAATAATGCCTTTAAAAAATACCAACAGCTTGATTTTTCACTCCTGTCTCCTTTACATCCTTCCTTCTTTCATCTCTTTAGCAAATGTAGAAAAACTTCAGCGCTCAGCTCCCTGTCTATTTGTATTTTAGAAAGGTCGTTTGTAAGCTGACGAATGAGTGTTACCCAAGGGTCCTATTAACAGATTCTGTCTGCTCCGTTAACAGGCCCTATTTGTCTGCAGTTAATAAAGCAAAGGTGATAGCAAGTATTCCAGGTGGTTTAACTTAGTGGAAAGCCCCGGGACTGGGGGAACACTGGTACCATCGTTATTTCTCGAAGTAGTCTTTGAGGCCTTGTACCCTCAATGGACACAATCAACGTCTGACCTGCTACTGTCTGACCAATGTGCCTGAGAGCAAAACCACATGCTTGGGGGGGTTGCATCAGAAAGAGGGATTGCTCAGCACTTCCCAGCATCTACTGTCCTGCTGAGAAAGCAAACCCCACATTTGGGGACTGCAGGAGCAGCTGGTGCACCTCGCAGAGCTCCTCCACCGCTGAATGTGTGCCTCCAGGCGTGTGAGGAGTAGAGATGTTAACAGGGGACTTTTGCCTCATTTCACAGATGTATAGATTCACGGTACATGGTCTGTCCTTCTGTTGTGGTTTAACCTGGCAGGCAGCTGAACACCACACAGCCACTCGCTCACTCCCCCACCCACCTCAGTGAGATGGGGAGAGAATCGGAAAGACAAAAAAGGTAAACCCCATGGGTTGAGATAAAGACAGTTTAATAAAACCATAAAGGAAAAAAAAGTAATAATAATAGTAGTAATAATAATAATAGAATATACAGAATATACAAAACAAGTGACGCACATTGCAATTGCTCACAACCCACCAACCGATGCCCACCCCGTCCCAAGCAGCGATTTCTTTCCCCAGCCAACTCCCCCTGAGCATGACGTCCTATGAAATGGAATAGCCCTTTGGCCAGTGGGGGTCAGCTGTCCTGGCTGTGCCCCCTCCCAGCTTCTTGTGCACCCGGCAGAGCATGGGAAGCTGAAAAGTCCTTGACTGGTGTAAGCACTACCCAGCAACAACTAAAACATCAGGGTGTTATCAACATTCTTTGTATATTAAATCCAAAACACAGCACTCTGCCAGCTACAAGGAATAAAATTAACTCTCTCCTAGGTGAAACCAGGACACCCTCATTGCAGGCTGCATATGCTGCAGATGAGATATAGACATCTTCTAAACACCAGTTAGGGATGGCAGGGGGAGCGATGTCTGATGCTTCCTGAGGATGTAGGCAGTTTTGACAGCTCTTTTCAGATGGGAGATCAAGATTTAGCCTACCAAACTGCCACTGTCATGTGGAGATAAGCCAGTAGCAAAATGATGAGAGTCCTCTACCACGTGACTTGATGACAACTCTCATCTCTAACTGGGTTTGGTTTTACTAAGGGCTTGGGTTGCAAATCCAAGATGTAACTCCCCCCTCTTTAATAAGGAAGAAATTCCCACTCTGAGAATCAGACCTCTGAAAAAAACGTTTCCTCAGATTGCAATTTTAATCACCCATTGAACCAATCATACATTTCAAAAAGCTAAAACCTCAGATTTTTTCTTTTATCAATAAACAAGGCCCTGTCTTTTGTGCAAATGCTTATGCGGGCCAATACTGGGTTTGTTGTTTTGATTAATCACCTGAACAGTTGTAACGGCCTTAAGAGTTTTCTGCAAGTGTCATCCAGCTGGCAAATGGATTTTAACTCATCATAACATCTACACTTAATGATAACTGATGTAAAGTCCTGGGATTTGCATGGAAAGATAAGATTTGGCAAAAAAAAAAGTAAGATGATGGTCCTGTGTGTGAAGCAAAAAAAAAAAACAAAACAAACACAAAAGAGCCCAGCTCTTAACTGCTTGTTTTGAAACAAAAGATATGGGGGGTTTTCCAACATATTTATATAAGAAGACAGAAACCAAAATCTGTATTTGTCCAAATCAATACTTCCTCCCCACCCCTAGCTATGCTCAGAGAAAAAACTGTTACGCAGAATCACAAAAAGCATGGCTCTGTGTTTACTGACGTGGTCTGTTCAGCTGGATCAACAGCTTTCTTGTGATCAAAAGCCATGGACCTCTGTCCTAAACGCAAATTATTCCAGCAGATTCTCAAAACTATGAAGAAAGAGGTTAAATGAAAAATAAAGTACAAAAGTTCACAAATCTGGAGGCACACGCTAAGATATCTCTTCTTCTATACTTCGCTGGTCTGAAAAGATACTTTGCACACAAATGACTTTAACAGATTTTCTATAGTGTCGTTCACAGTTTTGTTTTCCATTTTTTCATCTTTCTGTAGAGGCCTCCTGGAGCTTTTTCTGGCTGCTTATGGCAATATATAGCACGTTTCAAGATGAACTGCTAAAAAAATCGGTTTTCCCAATGCTGCTTTAATGCTTTCTTTAAAACATAATGAGTCTACATGTTGTTGTCGTCTGAAAATCTACATGAAAAAAAAATCAATTTTTCACAATTTGCTCAGCAACTGAATGGCTCTCCATGGATCCTGCGGCTCTGTTCTCACTCATTCCTCAGCTCAGAAATGGACAACGCGACGCAGGTGGCGTGATGCATCCTTCGCGGTTGCTCCATCCAGCACTAGGAGACTCCTTTCTCCCGGAAGGAGTTCCAGGCTGGGTTACGGTCTGTGCCGCGGCTACCCAGCTTCTCCAGTGGATGAAGGCAGCAGGCTATTCACGCTATCAAAAGCTGAATAACAGGGAAAAGAAAAGATTTTTTTAAGGGAAAAATATTTAAAGCCAACTTTTTATGTCCTAGGGAATCCATAAATTGCATATACAGGAGCTTGGGGACTTACGGGAGGAAGATTGTTACTTTTTCTTTATGATGTTTTAAAGTCACATTGCTCCTGAGATACAACACAGTTTTCCCAGAAACCCAGAGAAATGCTAGAGTTCCTTAAACTAATGCTTGTGGTTGGATAGAGAAAGAAGATTTCTTTTCTTTTAAGATTACATATTTATTTATTTTTCTTTCAGGGAGATGAGCCCAAAGCTCCTTACTTTGTATCTAAACAGTGGGGCTCTTTCTTCGTGGACCGATTGCCAGGCCTGGAAAATGCAGAGGAAACCTTAGTTCGCACGTGGTCCTGTAAATGTATTAGCACTTACAGCACTATTGCAATCCCTAGTCTTGAAGCAATAGCAGGTAAGGAAGATCACTTTTTTTTCCCCTAAAGAACATGCAGTATTCATAGTAACTTGGTCATAGTGCAGATCTATTTTTGAGATTACATGTATCCAAAATACATTAAAAAATATTCTGTTCACATCATGCAGCAATTAATGCTAGTGGCTATTAATTACTTTGACGTTTATGCTTTAATACTTGTCTGCTACACCAGTTCAGTTTTTTTTCTTTGTGCCTGCAAATGTTAGATGCTTAGTTTATCCAATGTTAGAAATAGGACACAACATTTAACAGGTTGTAGATTAGTTCCTGAATTTTGATTCAGGACTTCCCCACAGTATTTTGCTGTGTCTGCTTTCAGTGGTGAGTTACCTTAGGAAACAGACACATGCCGAGTTATGTGGGTTTTTAGACATCCAGATATGTTTCTCTGATCTGTCTTGATCTGGCCTCAATCAGCTCACTTACCCCTTTACAGCTGAGATGGAGACGAATGAGTGCAGGAATGTAATGAAGCCAAGAATGCCTAGGACGGTGCTTCTCTCTCTCTTTTTTTTTTAAAAATGCGTGTATTGCGTTTGAAACTGCATCATTTGGACACAGCTGGAGCCTAAAATATTCTCTCTATCTGGAAAACAAGGCAATCACAAGCAATGTCTTGTTCTCCAAAATTCACCTCACTGAGAAACCAGTTCAGGTTTTCTACCTTCTTACATCAAGGCTGCGTCAAAGGTACAATTATGGCTGATCTTCTGATTTCCACTAATGTTTATCCCTGGAGGGACCATACGTTATTTTGGATGGTTTGTAGCAATAGTTGTAGCAGTAATAGTGCAATAACTTTGCAACAGCAGTGCATATCAGTTGATTATGAAGTGGTGGTGAAGACCCCCTATCCATCTATCTATCCTCAAGCCGTCATTTTGCCTTACTGAACTTTATCGATACACCACATCTAAATGAATAAACAAATTATTAAGTGAATGAGGTACTTAGCTGTGTGAAGAACACAGCAGTCATTTAGTTTATTAACCCCTCTGTTCAGCATCTGCTGCCTACTTCATGCGTAAGACCAAGGAATAAAGAGTTGTTCCAAGAGAGCATTTCAGATTTGCCCAGATTTCTACACCAGAACAGGTGATAGACTTGTCCTTTGCAACCATATTCTACACATGTACATACATTGTAAGGAAACCCATACGGTGCCACAATTTATTTATGCTTCTGATATTTGCCATGTTGCAGTCTGTATTTCATCCAGAAGGTACAAAGCCTGAATATACCAAGGGAAATAGCCAAGAGAGAGGTAACTTCTGTAAAGCTCCTTTCTAATACCTTTTCCAGAGTCACTCTGTGGCTTGCTTTGGAGGTGTTGGCCCGGAGGAAGCACGTGGGTCAGCCACACTCTGTGAAACTCTGCCTCCCAGCCAGCTCCCCCCAGCCACAGCTCAGATTGCAGGGCTAGCAAAGGCTGCAGACCACAAACGTACCACTAGGTTTCCAGCTACAGACAAAAGGGTGAGAACCAGAAAGGCGTATCTCTGCAAACTAGTGAGCAGTATAGCTGCCTGTCATCGGTGGTGGAGCCCCTGCAAAGTCTGTTCCTCCATTGGGAGGGACGCTGCGTGCTGTCCCTCACTGCGTTGGACCGGTGCTGGGGCAGGGGCTGGTGTCTGAGAAACTTATACCCCAGAGCTAAAGGACAGGGGAGGAATGACATTTTTAACTTGCAGCTGCGCGCCTGAAAGCAGACTCAAAGCTGAAGGTACAAGAACATTCCTGGTTTCTTACAGAGAGAGGTATTTCTTGTTTGTTTGTGCAGAAGAGCAGATGTTCATTATTATGGATGTTGAGGAATTCCTGACTCCCCTCAAATACCTTGTCTGACTCCTGTCACAGCAAGCTGCGAGAGCCCCTGCTTTGCCAAGCCCTGAAGTTTTTGGCTGCAGTTGTAAGCCATAGCTTAGCTGCAGCTATTTGGGAATAACTAGCTAGAAGAGATTCAAATGGGTTATGCGAGTTTGATGCGCTCCAGCTTTTCCTTTTCTATTCATCTACTTTAATTACCGGCAGAGGACTTTCCACTGCCAAGCTGCAAAAACACAGGCCTTTCCTCAAGATGCCCCAAGCCCAAACACGCAGCCAGGCTGCCGGCGTGCTGACCGTACGACCCCAGCTCCTGGCCACCAGCCGGCACGGCCGCAGCAGCACCCGGGTCAACCTGACCCAGCCGAAGGAGCTGCCACCTCCCTGGAGGTGTGCCACAGCCTCCCGGGAGCTGTGGGCTCACCAGAGCTTAGAATCATAGAATCATAGAATTGTTTAGGTTGGAAAAGACCTTTAAGATCATCAAGTCCAGCTGTCAACCTAACCCTGCCATCCCACCACTAAACCATGTCCCTAAGCACCTCATCTACCCGTCTTTTAAATACCTCCAGGGGTGGGGACTCAACCACTTCCCTGGGCAGCCCATTCCAATGCTTAACAGCCTTTTCAGTGAAAAACTTTTTCCTAATGTCCAACCCAAACCTCCCATGGTGCAACTTGAGGCCATTTCGCCTTGTCCTATCGCCCATTACCAGGGAGAAGAGGCCGACCCCCACCTCGCTACCCCCTCCTGTCAGGCAGTTGTAGAGGGCGATAAGGTCTCCTCTCAGCCTCCTCTTCTCCAGGCCAAACAACCCCAGCTCCCTCAGCCATTCCTTATCAGACTTGTGCTCCGGACCCCTTGCCTTGCTTTGTTGCTCTCCTCTGGATATGTTCCAGCAATGCAACGTCTTTCCTGTAGTGAGGGGCCCAAAACTGAACCCAGTATTTGAAGTGTGGCCTCACCAGTGACGAGTACAGGGGCACGATCATTTCCCTGCTCCTGCTGGCCACACCATTCCTGAAACAAGCCAGGCTTCACTGTTAGCAATGTCTGACCTGAGATAGTAAAAATTCATTTTGGGTAATAAAACCCTTCAAGCCTGTTTCCATTTCTTTTAAATAGAGGAAATATGTAAAAGAAAGTATTAAAAATAAGCAGTAGATCTGGATTGAGAAGTTGACATAGAAACAACTTTTTTCACCACCATGTTTTAAGTTTGGTGCGGATGCACCTGAAGAATTTGTGCATGTAACTAATGCAGGGAAAGGGTTTCACAGCAAATGCTGCTGTTGCAGTTTGTGTCCATTCAAAGTATAAAATAACAGAGCATATACACAAATTGTGTGTTGTAATTAGTAAAATGACACCTTGGTGAAAAAAAATCAATCCAATCCATTCTTCATTAGCTTTCTGTGCTAATACACTTCTGTCCTCATCTTTTGTTGAAAATACAGTATCTGACCAAAAGGCGTTTGCATTCCCAGATGCATCAGAAATTCTGAACTCTAATCTCACCTCCAGCAAGGAAAGTATTAGTGGGATTGCAGATTACTGTGTCACAGCTTGCCATCTAAACAGTCCCTGAAGAGAAACTGGCATTTGCCTTGTGCATGCAAAAGGACATTCTGTTTATTGTAAAAATTGCCCAAAGGACAGAAAGGATCTTCTACAATACCTTCTGTGTACTTCCCTCAGTTTGGAGAGGAAATCAGATAAAGGTCAATTAACACGCTTCATTTAAGGCATTAGCACCTTGACATTAATGTGACATTAAAAAAAGTTTAAGTGGAGAGCAGCGTTATGGTTACAGCTCTGTAATATTAAGAAAATATAAGTTGAAAGTTTTCTAAACATTTCATAGGTCTTTTGTGAGCTAATTCTCCGTACCCACTTTCAGTAAGCAGGGAAGTTTTTCTCAAGCCGATGAGCTCATGATTATATTGACAGTACGTGGTTAATAAAATAGTAGAAGCCAATGCCCCTACTCCTACTCATTCACAAATCCATCTGTTTCTTCACTTTTCTGCTATTGAATCTCTCCCCATTCACAGCTCCCTTACAGTTTTTGACCATTTTCAAACACAGTGATATCGGAAGCCAAATTTTCCAAACCAGGATCCATGACCATGGGAATGCTACATTTGAGCTTACCCATGGAACTTAAAAGATGTCTCAAAACGTCTGTCTCAAAAAACAGTGTTTTGCATAAACTACAGTTTCTAATACATCCTCCTCCAATTCAAAAAGGTTGGTATGAGCCAAGCAGAGGTGGGTACTCTTGTCTATCATACCTGCAGAATCTGAACTTTACCTTCAAGGAGGTGACCACTACTCTGTGGCTTTTTGATCAAATTTCCATGTAAATAATGATATGTCCTGCATCACATGGATATTCCAACAGTAACTGCAGATCTCTCTGATTTACAAAGAATATCAAATATAAATAACATTTTACTTACTAAGCAAGTTTTTGTAGAAAAAAACATTTTAGGTTGCTACTTGATTAACAATTCTTTGATCCCAGAAATTATACGTCTATTTCAAGCTAATGCTTTTCCTTTGATTCTGATCACAGTTGGTATTTTTATGAAAGCCCCACTTCAAAAAATTCCATGACAAGTAACTGTGGAATCTTAGAGTTCATGGGGGAATTTTGACAAGTTTCTTCTGTTTCTCGTTGCAAAGAAAAGATTAAGAAAGAGAGTCCTAAATCCTAAAATGGAGAACCCGAGAAATACTTTTTTTAAATTTCGTGATTGTTAACCTAATCTCCTGTATGGGTCTCATAACCTCTTGTGGTGGGTTGACCCTGGCTGGACACCAGGTGCCCACCAAAGCTGCTTTATCACTGACACCCTCAGCTGGACAGGGGAGAGAAAATACAACAAAAGGCTCATGGGTCAAGATAAGGACAGGGGGATCACTCAGCAGTTACTGTCATAGGCAAAACTGACTCGACTTGGGAAAAAAAATTAATTTAATTTATTACCAATCAAATCACAGTAGGGTAATGAGAAATAAAAACTAAATCCTAAAAACACCTTCCCCCCACCCCTCCCTTCTTTCCAGGCTTAACTTCACTCCCAATTTTTCTCTACCTCCTCCCACCGAGCGGTGCAGGGGGACGGGGAACGGGGGTTGGGGTCAG